TGAGGGAAAATTAAATTTGTAGGATCTTGGAGAGTGTCATTAGCTCTTCCAACAATCCCTGCATAAGTAGCCTTAGTCCAACTAGAATCAGTGTGAACATCAATGGGGGTGGCCATAACACCAGCCACAAAGAAAAACCCAGAAACTTTTGAGTAGAGGAAAAGAAAGCAGGATAGAAATCAGGAGGCTAGCAGAAAAACCAGAGAAGAGGAACACCAACACAATGAAACAGTAAAACAGAAGGGTGAAAAGAGAGTTTGTAAAAGCCAAGAGGAGAAGACCACAAGGAAGACTCCCAAATCAGTGACAAGCCCAACACAACACCTTACCAGCACCCATAGAGACCACCAGCAGCTTCATCTCCCTAAAAACCCTAGCAGAGCAAGCTCACCAGACGCCAGCTCCATTTCATTTATATATATATATATATATATTTGTATTGTGCCAAATAGAAATCCTATTATTTACCCTTTGAGTGGTCTATCAAGTGTATACAAAACTTTGACTAATCTAGAGTTTTGTCCCTAATTTTGTAGATAAGTTGCTAGGATACCGGTTCTCACTCTAGAGATCCCACGTCACCCTTGCCCGAAGGCTAACAATCTCGCATTAGTTTCCAAACAACTAGAACAAATTGAGGATTTTAATCTGTCACCATAGAATCTCAAATTCTGCATCCAAGAAAGCATATTACCCTATTTTTTTGCACTCAACCCCATGAATTACATTCTCACCCATGGAATTGAATGTGACTCTCACCATGTTGTAGAAATCATAGCCTTTTTTGGATCTTAAGTTTCTCAACACATTTTAACATTTCAATTGGCCATATCGAAATGTAAATGAAGATCGAAGTTCAAATCATCACAAATTATTGACATTTAAACCTGTATAAAACAAAATCAATTGTCCACAAAACCATATTTCAGAGTATGGAGAAGCAAAAATAAGACTACCCAAAAATAATAAGAAGGAAATGACAAAACACAGATTTCAAAGATAAAAATAAGTTTACAAAACAAAGAAATAAAAGACACAACTTATCTCATACTCCTACCAAAGAAAATCCTTAGAAGTTCTTTTTAAGCACTTTCCCTCTTTATAAGAACTCTCAATTCTCTCTTAGAAATGTAATGAAGAAGAAATCTCTCACTTTCCCTCTCCTCTTACAACCCTACAAAAAAATCTCCAAGTCCCTCACTCTATCTCACCCCTTAACTATTCTTCTTTCTCACACCACCCACCAAAACTCTCTCGCCACTCTCCTTTTTAATTAAGGGTTGCCTCCTTTCAAAAAGAATTCAAACTTCCCTCCCAAATTCTATCCAAATTTCACACCTTTTGAATCCCAAAAGACATGTCTATTCATTCAAGAGACATATCCCTTCATTAAAGAGCCCTTTAACGTGTCTAAATGCATTGAATAACTCCATGGAGCATTGGAAACATTTGGAGCTATCAAAATCTGCTCAAAATTTATTCTGAACCACCTTAATCCATCAAGTATCGTCTCTGGTGCTTTTGACGCCAATTCTGGTGCCTTAGGGGCCATTTTACTTAAGTCCGCACTTTTCTAGGTTTTGGCATCACTTTTCTATATAATGGCGCCAGAGGCGCCAACTCTCTGTAAGTTAGCACCTTTGAAGCCAAAATCCAAAAGTTCTCTATTTTTGCTCCAAATTTTCTCATTTTTGCTACTTTTGCTTCAAATGTCTAAAACTGATATACCTGCAACAAAAATAAGAAAATACCCTTCTTTAAAGTGCAATATCACCAAAAATAAGCATAAAATATATACTTAAAATATCACAGTATTTTTGTGTACCAAAATCCCCCAAACATAAATGTTACTAGTCCTCAAGTGACTATTTTACTACATAAAAATATGACTTAGGATAGAGTTTAACTTATAAACTTCTATATTTTAGTTTAATAAAAAAAATAGTATAATTTTAAAAAAACTTTTAATATCTTAGATTAAAACTCTAAGTATAAGATTACTTAGTAATCAAATATAAGATTTTTAAATCTCTATTCATTTCAAGAAGAATTGTAATTTGTTATATTAAGGATACTTGGAATATCCATATGAAAAATAATTTAATGAAAACTTTAATAGTAATGCTACTAATACTCTAACACAAGTTTAAAAAATGTAATAAAGCATTTTCCCCAAGGTTATTCAAGTGAAGCAAATTTTTTATTAGGTATGTCCTCAAGCTTCTCCTCACATTCTTTTTTTTCTTCTCTTTTTCCTTTTTTTCATTTTTTTCAAGATCTTTTCAATCATTTCTTTTCTTTTCTTTTTCAAGTGAGGATTTTTATATTTAGATAGCCTTTAATAATTTTAAATTTTGCTATCCTCTTCTTAAAGTTAAAACTTTTTATCTTTCTTCACTTTATAAATTCATATTAGTTTTGATGATTTTTCATAGATTATTAGTTTTGATGATTTTTCATAAAGTCTCATTCTTTTCTTCTTATATGAAACTCTAAGATTCTTAATACCTCAAAAATACAATTTCCTTTACATTAAATAGAAAACATAGTTTTATCCTTTCATACCAAATATCTTTAACTTTAGAATTGACCATCATTATTAAAACTTTTACCTAAATTTACCATAATTTACAAACATAAATATATTCATTTAAAGTTAAACTCTAAAATCCAAGGTCATGTTAAATTAATTTTAAAAACATAGCTATTTGAGGACAAATAAAATTTACTTTACTTCTTTTTTAAAAGAAAAAAATTCTTTTTCCCCAAACTTAAATTTTTAAGTAATTAAAAATGTTTAGTACAATATTTTGTAGATGAAAGAAAATAGAAAATGCATCAAAATAAAACTAACATGTAGAGAATTTCTAAAATATGAAATTGGGCTCTAGTATGGTCGGCACTATTTTGGTTAAGGCGGGGTCATCCGTTGGAGTCTATCGGTCGCCGAAACCGGAATCCCATCGTCCG